TTATTATGAAGTAACCCAGGTAATAAATCTAAGATATACAATGTATAGAGTATTATGATTTGGGTCAGTTGGTTAGGTAAAGATGTTTTGATCTAGATGTTCATTCCAGAGAATACTGTGATGGAAGAATTTTGGTTGGAATTAGAAGTCTAGTTGAAACTGGAACTCTGAGATGTGCATGGCCCAACATAATTTGATGGGAGCAGAAATGCAAGTATGGTCAATTCTAGATTCTATTCAATAAAATGAACTTGAAAACGGGGAGTTAAACATTTTCACGTTAGAAAGTACATTTTTACTTTGTATGGGAAATTTTACTTAGCTCACAGGATGTGGTGAAATATCATTTAGCAAAGAATACCCAATCATGAGCAAGAAAAATTAAGAAAAAAAAAAGAGGAAACTTTATTTCCTTGAAAATGAAGGAATAAGCAAAAATTATCTTTCAAAATTCTCTTTTGCTGAGTGAACATCCTGAATTCCTTCAGTAAATTAACTCCAATGTGTAGGTGCAACATATTCATCACAGCATTATGAAAAAATTAGCACAAACGTTTTAGTTTAGTCATAGGAAAAGCATTGGATGATGATTTTTTTTTGAGAACCTGTTTCACATCTTGGTTCCTTAGGCTGTAAATAAAAATATTCAGCATAGGGGTAATAACGGTGTAGACAATGATAATAATGCGATCATACTGGGAAGAGCAATCCGATGGAGGTCGAAAATAAATGAAAAATGATGGTACCGTAAAACAGTCAAATGACCATGAGAGGTGAAGAACAGGAGAAAAAGGCTTTTCTGCAACTGCTGCTGCTTTTTATTTTTAATACAGCCCATCCAGTGAGCACATAGGAGATCAAGATAAAAAAAGAATGGAACGTTACCAGCCAAAGACCCTTCAGTGTATATTAGGAGCTCAGCTTGTGTAGTAGTGGAACAGGACAGTTTAATGAGGTGTGTCAAGTCACAGTACAAGTGGTGGATCAGTCTGTCCTCACAGAAAGCTAATTGTGACAGATTAAAAGTATGTAAGAATTAATGCAGAGAAACCTGCCACCCAACACATAAAAGTCAACAGAACCATCACCTTATTCATTAATGATGTGTAGCGTAGGGGGTTACAAATAGCTAAATATCGATCAAAAGCCATGACTGCCAGAATAAAGTTCTCGGTAACAGCAAAAAACAGAAAGAAGTACATGTGCAGGAAACAGCCAAGAAAGGAGATTGTGGTTTCTCCATGAAAAATGCAGGACAGAAGCTTAGGAACTGTTACTATAAAAAAATAAATATTCACTACTGACAGGTTCTCTAAGAAAAAATACATTGGTGTGCGCAACTGCTGAGAAAGTTTAATGGAGCTTAGTAAAAGAAAGTTAGCAGACCATGTGAGTGTGTATATGACCAGTATAATGGAGAAGAAAGCACCATGATTGTAGTAAAGCTGAAAGATCACCGAGGGCTGGGCCCACAGATTCAGAAGGTACACGATGCCACACAGACAGCGGTTCTTTTACAACAATTACATTTACTGAACAGTTATAGCTAACAAGAAGTTGAGCGTACATAAACAAAATGATAACAGCGCATAACCATACAGTAAGAATAATACTGTCTAACACTAACCCTGTACTTGCGGACTTTTCCCCAATGTCCAGAAAGCAGCCTGGCTGCGCCTGAATGTTCCTGAGCAAGATATAACGTTGGGGTGCACCCTAAGTATTGTGCAATACTATTTGTAATCCAAAGGAAAGTGGAGTATGTCTCTTGTAGCTTTCTGGTATATCCAAAATGTCACTGAACACGTGTGGTGCGATGTGCTGCGGCAAAGCCGCACTTACAGTTCCTTGGCAGGCTCTTGGTGCTTTTTCCTGATCCACTGGTCCACTCCAGAACCGGACCATACAGTCACTTGTTTCTTGGTCTCGTTGCGGTGAATCTTCCCTAGGTGCTGTCGCCAGACTCCACTGTGAGCCGTAAATCCTCTTCCAGGCCCCACACAGATTCTCCAGACGTCCTCAGCATACACCAGCCAGACACAGACTCCTCTCACTTCCTGCTCTCCACTGGAACTCCTCCCCTTCCCAGAGAGTTTGTGATGCAGTAAGTCATTTCCTAATTGCAGCCTCAAACCTGCATTTACAGTTCACTATGACCCTTCTGAGAGTCCTACTTGGCCCCTAAATTAGCATTCATTAAACTTTATAAGGTAAATAAGCATTAGTTGTTGTCTTAGTAAACCTCAATGCAAAATTGATTATTGTACTTTGCTGCCATCTACTGACCAAAGAGCATATTGCAGTTTAACATTGCACATCAGTATTTATCCACACCCCACACCCTTACAAAGCTCTGAGAAGGCCAGAAGAATAAAACCAGAGGTTATATTCATTATCTCCATCACAAATCATCTGGAATTACCATGTTCAGGTGAAAGAGAAATACCACCAAACAACAGAAAGGAACATGAGTGTCACTTTTACTTCAGGGTGACAAAGACCGGATAAAAAAAATGAGCTGGATACAGATTTCAATGGGTCAATCGAATTATCGTCAGACACACTGACTAAGGTTTGGCAGAACTCCACAAAATGGAGACACCCCTTAGAAATGGGTAAAAAAAACCAGAGTTGAGAATCCAGTTTATATACAGTTCAATAAAAACTTCCATATGCAAGTCCAATAGTTTGACAGTGCTTAAATGGGCCCAGATAAACACATACTAGATAGATCTGTGGTTTTCTGGTTGAAACAGTTTCATAAGGCAAGCTATGCCAAAGTTAGTAAGTGTAGCAAAGGACGTAGTAAAAATAAATTAACTTTTGCACAATATTATAATATTTCAAGTTTCACCTGTATGTATGTATGTATATATATATATATATATATATATATATATATATATATATATGAAAAGCAAGTAAACCCAATAGAAATTGTTCATATGAAAGTGAAAAATCCAGCACCACAAGATCTCATCAATAAAAGATTAATCGCTGTTGTGATAAGCTGTTGTAAGGTTCTACTTATCTGCTCTCTGTAGTGGTTTTTCACAGAGCACCCCCAATCCTTCTCTTCTTGGGTCCCCTGTCCGTGCTCTTGGCCCCTTCCTCCTGCTGAGTGCACCCAGAGCAAGCAGCTTGCTATGGGGTGTACCAAACAAAGCTCACGCCTGGGCTGCTGCTCTGCTTGTCCATTCACACACAGAGCCACAACTCGGCCCCACCCCCTCTCTCTTACTGGCTCACAACTGTGATTGACAGCAGCAGGAGCCAATGGCTTGTGTCTCAGCCAATAAGGAGGGGGAGTCCCAAGAGAGCCGAGGTTCTCATGCACATTGCTGGATCGCAATGGAGTTCAGTTGAGTATTAAGGTATACTACTGAGTATGCTATAAAAATATTGTGCTGTATTGTTTTAAAAAATAAATAAATACTGTAGATATAGAAAAAAAAAAACATGAAAAACATATGAAGAGGGGCTAGCCTCGAACGGGTAATTATTTAATGGAGCCCTGTCTGGATATCTTGTATACAGATTGACCTACATTCTAATAACACTGTTACTAAACCTGCTGCATATATCATCACAGATTGATCCTATATTCCAATTGTTAAACTTTTTTAGGTTAAATATTTGATATTACTTATCCATTGGATGTGTCTGTGGCTGATATAATGGATCCTATTTCCCTTTATCAATGCATACAATAATTAGGATAATATGATAATGTGTTCACCTCTGTTCTTCAAATTATAGTGCCATATGGGAGGTCCTAATGGGTGCCTTGTATGAAATTTTTTATTTTTGGATTTTTGTTGGAGTGATAACCTAATTATAGTAACCTAACTTTTAGAAGAACTCATCATTCTACTTTACCTGTAGTATAAGGTCTAGCTAATACATGCAATGAAATTCATGTAATGATTCTGATTAGAGATGAGCGAATTATTCAAAAATTCGATTCGACTGCTTCGGCGAATTTGTGAAAAAATTTTGATTCGAGTCGAATATATTCGCTGTGAATTTAACTTATAAAAGGGTGTTTCTAGGCTTCAGAGAGCCTTTATATTAGTGCAGAACACTGTACCTTTAATTTAAATGCCCTTGGAGTCTGCTGGGGAAAGAGAAATAATACTGTCAGTCAGTATGACATGCAGATGAGTGCCGTCGATCTTAGAATCACCGCACACTTCACTCATTTGGGCAGTCACGGGGCCAAAACCAGAGTGTGGAGCCACAGTGTGGTCGGTGGGAGGCAGCAGCAATGGGAGGCCATACAGCACCCTATGACAAAATGGAACCCAGCAGCAGTGTGAGGAGACCTGAAAGTGGCACATGGCAGAGTGTGGCGATGGAGACAGCAGCAATGGGAGGCCGTACAGGGACCCATGACACACTCTGGACCTGGCAGCAGCATGAGAGGCGGGTACAGGGGCCCATGACAGATTACGGGCCTGGTAGCAGCATGAGGAGTTGGTACGGGGGCCCATGGCAGATTACGGGCCTGGCAGCAGCAATGGGAGGCCGTACAGGGACCCATGACACACTCTGGACCTGGCAGCAGCATGAGGAGGCGGTACAGGGGCCCATGACAGATTACGGGCCTGGCAGCAGCATGAGGAGTCGGTACGGAGGCCCATGACACACTCTGGACCTGGCAGCAGCATGAGGAGGCGGTACAGGGGCGCATGACAGATTACGAGCCTGGCAGCAGCAACTTGGACAGGAGGACGTTCAGCTTCTGCACCGTTGGGTGCGTGCTCGCAAACTGTTGTCTCTTGGAAACGGATTCCAAGAAAGACTGCTGACGGAATCCGTGAAGAGGAGTAGCAGGAGAAGGAGCATCTGAACGAGCGGAATATGCCAACAAGCGACAACAGGGGCCCATGACAGATAACGGGCCTGGCAGCAGCATGAGGAGTCGGTACGGGGGCCCATGGCAGATTACGGGCCTGGCAGCAGCAATGGGAGGCCCGTAATCTGCCAGCACCCTATGACAAAAAATGGAACCCACCAGCAGTGTGAGGAGACCTGAAAGTAGCACATGGCAGAGTGTGGCGATGGAGACAGCAGCAATGGGAGGCCGTACAGGGACCCATGAGAGACTGTGGACCTGGCAGCAGCATGAGGAGGCGGTACTGGGGCCCATGGCAGATTACGGGCCTGGCAGCAGCAATGGGAGGCCTGTAATCTGCCAGCACCCTATGACAAAATGGAACCCTGGGCTGGGGCAGGCAGAACCGCCGTTATATGACAAAAAATGTGAACACACCAGCTGACCATGCTGAGGAGACCTGAAAGTGGCACATGGCAAGTGTGCGATGAGACAGCAGCAAATGGGATGGCCGTAGAGCCGGGACCCATGACACACTGTAGGACGTTTGGCAGCAGCATTGAAGAGGCGGGTACAGGGGGCCCATGGGCAGATTAGGGCCTGCGCACAATGGGAGGCCCCTAATCGTCCACACTCTATACAAAATGGAAAACACCAGCATTTTGTGAGGAGTACTAGGTAAGTGGCCACATGGCATGACACACTAGAGGACCTTGGCAGCAGCATGAGGAGGCGTACAGGGGGGGCCCCTGCAGGGTTAGGGGCCCCCGGCAAACAGTATGGGAGGCCGTAATCTGGGCCAAACACCCTTTTGACAAAAAAGGGAAAACCCCCAGCCCGGTGAGGAGACCCGGGAAAATGGGACATGGCATGAGACAAATGGGGGACCTGGGGGGGGGGGCAGCATGAGGAGGCGGGACAGGGGGCCCCTGGAAAATTTTTGGGGCTGGCAAACAGCTATGGGAGGCCCGTTAAAACTGCCCGCACCCTATGACCCCAAAAAAAGGAACCACCAAGCAGTGTGTGAGGAGCTGAAAGTGGCACATGGGAGGTGTGGCGATGGGGACGCCCGCAATGGGGGCCGTACAGGGACCCCGAGGGGTTTTGGACCTGGCCAGCAAGGGGGGGGGGGGGGGGGGGGGGGGGGGGGGGGGGGGGGGGTTTTTTTTAGGAGGCGGTAAAAGGGGCCCCTGGGAGATTAGGGGCCCGGCAGCGCAATGGGAGGCCGTAATCTGCCAGCACCCTATGACAAAAAATGGAACCCCCACCTGCAGTGTGTAGGAGGACCTGGAAAATGGCACATGGCAGAGTGTGGCGATTTTTAGACAGCAGCAATGGGAGGCCGTACAGGGACCCCTGAGAAAACTGTGGGGCCCGGCAGCCGCATGAGGAGGCGGTACAGGGGCCCATGGCCAGAATAGGGGGCCCGGCCGCAGCCCATGGGAGGCCCGTTAAACTGGCCCGCACCCTAGACCCAAAAAAAGGAACCCCACCAAACAGTGTGAGGAGACCCGGGGAAAATGGCCCCATGGGGAGAGTGTGGCGATGGAGACAGCAGCAATGGGAG